CCTGTCTTTTGGAAGGAATTAATTATGTGAAGGATGCATGCCTTCAATATGTTAATATTGCTTATTTTGTGCACATTTTACTAAAATGCCGAAGATAAGTTTCTTCTTACAGATGTACAAAATGTCCTAATGTTCCTTTGGTATAATTCTTATGGATTGTCGCTATTGGATACAAAAGTCATAGGGAAAATGAAATATAATTATTTTGTTTTAAAGTATTGTGTGCCTCCTGCATGTATAGATTGCACTATTTTTGCTTTATTTTGGTTTATGATGGTTCCCCCCTAGCTTCTGCGTAGCATGGCAATTTGCTGAAATACAACTGTGCCATATGCATTGCTTCAGTAATAGCTCATAGCGGACACATCATACACGATTGGACTAACTTGGTCTCCAAGAATAATAGTTGTCTTCTTTTTAATTGCGTTAGCTGTTGACATGGGCACATTTTTTTTCTCATAGGGATCAAAGGTTTAATTTTACTTATCACTGATACCTAGCAGGCACTGTTGATTTTGGTAATCCTTTTCTTTTGGAACCGAATAATCTGATATATTTAAACATTTTTTGGGACCCAAATAATACAGGAAACAAAATCTGTGGGTGCCGAAGTCAATTGGGGAGTCAGATTTAATGAGAACAAAGATGTATGTTCTTCTTTATTTCTCTTTCCTGTTTATTATTTTAGTGCTGCCCCTTTTCGTGTTTGATATTCTTTTTGTTATTTGCAGGCTGATAATTTTCTAGTCAACCTCAGCAAGGAGGTTTCTTTACGCTTACAAGGATGTGGACTACAGGGCCGTACTATTACCCTTAAGGTTCTTTGGGCTGACTGAACACAGTTTTTCTCTCCATTTTTTGCCAGTTGGTTAAAGGTTTATAGCCATATGTTCTGCCTTGAAGGTGAAAACAAGAAGGAAAGGTGCTGGAGAGCCACTAAAATTTATGGGGTGTGGTGACTGCGAAACCATGAGTCGTTCTACCACAGTAAGGGTTAAATAATGGCATTTGAATATAGAGTTGTGTCATTGTGTTGTAATCTTAGTTTCCTTCGGCTTTTCTGTATGAACTTGGCTATTCTGTTTCATTGTTTTGTAATGTTGACCATTTTCGGCAAGGGATTGGCAATTATTTATCCTGTAAAATGAGTTTCAGTTCTTAGTGCATATGTGCCTGTTATTTTATTTTGTATTTTTAATGCATCATGTGATTTTTTTATCACTGCTATTTTACCTTTCTTTCTTCTCCTTTGTTGTTTCAAAGATGACAGGTGCAACTGACAATTTAGTCACGCTTCAGAGAATTGCAAGACAATTGTTTGCAGCTTTGCATGTTGGTAAGTTTCGATATATTCTTCTCATACCTTATACACACCACAGTAGACTGCCATAAGTCTGTCCAAGTAGCCTCTTTTCTGCGGTTACTTTGTTGAATACTAAGTTCTAGTGCCATATTCTAGATGTGAAGGAAGTGCGAGGAGTTGGACTAAAAATGTCAAAGCTTGAACATGCAGATTTAGGTCGCGGAGGTATCTTCTAACTATTCAATTTCTTAACACCCTTTTGGGCATGGTATACATACACATTGCTGCACTGTTTATGTAGCAACCTTTTTCTCGAACACGCTTCTAAATGCGTGTTGTTGTGCATTAGAAGAACACCAAAAAGGTGCAGTGTTTATGTCACATTGTTTTTTAAAGGTACTCTCATGTAGTATTGGTTTTAAGACAAGCTCATAAATTTCACCACCCTTCAGATACTATCTCCAGGTTGCAATGCTCATAAATTTCCTGCTAAAATCGGTAATTGCCTTTGGCTCCTAGGTGCATATGCACCCATTGTCGAAATACACATTTTGAAAAGTTAAAAAAAATCGGAATATGCACCCATTGTCGAAATACACATTTTGAAAAGTTAAAAAAATCGGAATGTTGCTTACCTGATTTTATGAATGCTTATGTCCTTATGGTTTTTATTTTTTAATGAAGCACAACAAGGGAATATGCTTAAATCATGGCTTGGTTCATCATCTGAGAAGCTCAAGAAACAATGCAGCGAGAGAACCTGCTTTCTTGGGAACAGTGATGGTGCAGGTATTGGTCTTTTTTTTCTTTTACTTTTTTATTATATCAAGGTGTCATTTTCCATCGTATAGCAAATGCATTATTTTGATGTTGCTTTACATGCTTAGCGTTGAATTTGCAAATTTTCCGTCCCATGGATTTGTTTAAAAGATTTTGACTTGTCAGAGATCTTATAGGAGCCTCTACCAGTGAGATACGAAATTTGGGAAGCTCCAGACCATCACTTACAGGTGTTGCATCCCACTCGTCGAAGGTGAAGCTTACAAGTGGTAGGTCTACCAGAGTTCATGCTGCTGAGTTGCCACCATTATCTGAACTTGATTTGGAGGTCCTCAAGAACCTTCCTCCAGAGATAATATCTGAAATGAATGACATGTATAAGGGAGAATTGCATGGTTTTCTGGGCACGATAAAGGGCGATGAAGGCAAGGAAAGCAATTCAAAATCTCGTGTTTTACCTGCCGTTAACCAGAACTCTGTACCTGTTTGTAATGCAAGGTTGCACCAATATGGAGAGCGCACTGACTCCATGCATTTGGAAAAACGGAATAATATTAAGGTGAGATGATCAGTAAACTTAAAACTGGAAACAGAGTGGAAGCACTAGTCAAATCTGCTACTTTGTCATTCCTATTTTGAACCATTCCTCAAGTATCCTAATTGTTGCCATTACTCCCATAGGGGGCATCAGACCAGGAAGTTCAAACTGCCCATGCTTCGTGCTCAAGAGCCAATGAATTGATTGATACAGAGAGTGTCACACGGCTTGATTTCATGCCTAATTCTCTAAGCCAGGCAGACTTCACAGTTTTGCAGGAATTACCCGAGGATGTCAAGGCTGATTTGTTCAATGTGCTTCCATTACATAGGCCAATGGATCCTACATGCCGCACTTCAAACATTACTGAAAATAAATCTCTGAAGAATGGAGGAGCTGATGATCCAAAAAATCCAGTGATTTGTGTTCTGGCGGGAAGTTCTCAGAAATGGGCTGAACAGTTCAGAGTTAGCAGTTCCCTACTATTGAATGCCATTGCAGAGCAACACGCAAATTCTATCTCCAGTCAACCTTTATCTTCAATTTTAGAGCATGTTGCTTCCCTACTCCCTCTGTGTCCTACCTCAGGTAGCGAAGAATGGAGCGACACATTCTCCCGACTCTCTGTTCTTCTTACAGAGTATGTACACCTGAAAGTTGATTCTGATATTGAAGAGCTGTACAAATGTTTCCTTCTTTTGAAAAGGTAAAGTGTACTGTTCGAGAAAAAAGGGGTAAATCATGCAGTCATTTAACCATTATTAGATATGAATTTGTTGGGAAATTGTTGCAAACCAAGATGTGCATACTCAGTGAACATGAATTGGTATAAATGTGGTAGTTAGTCTCCCTCATGATGAGGAAGGTTATTCATGAAACCAGGTTCTTATTATTAACCACTGAACTTTCCCATTGCAGGTTCTCGTCAGCATCTGAGCTTTTTCTGGAATTGCACAATAGCATTCTCCCTTTGCTGCAGGTAAAATTTACATGTTCAATTATCATCATTTTGGTTGTGGACAACATTGTTAGGATTTACCACTGTATTTGTTATGGCTGGCCTTCGGGTCCTTTGCTTTATCACTTTTGACTTTCACAAACATGAGGGATAAACCACCTTAGTTTTTAGATGGAACCAGACAGTTGTCCACCTTCCATCTTCGTTCTGATTATAAAGTTTTTAGTTGTTTCTATTTAAGCTTTAAAGGTCCACTACATTTTGAAATATGAGTAATTTGCGCTGCATGCAAACAAATTTGCAAGCTGGATGCAAGTAGAGGCATCAACTCGGCAATTCAGATTCTGGACATTTTTGTCCACAAACTTGTCAAACTGATCGAGTGAAAGCCCATCATCCTTTTTGTAGGATTCCATCACTCAACATTATGGTGGGACACTGCGTCTCTAGTTCGAAGTTCAGGTATTGCGGACCGCTTGGTGATAGAAAGGGCAGAGAAGGTGCGTAGGGGTCTCTGTGCCCTTGTTTATCAGTGACGACCATGGAGTGTGATGACTGGCTCTCCTGGGTCTGTGGATATGAACTGAAATACTGAATCAGGGTTTGGAATGTGAACATTCTCGCCACACTATGTATAAAAGGGGAATCATGTACACCTGCAAATATTCCTTTTTTTTGCGAGAACTGTAAATATTACTTCTACATGAAAGATGGCACGAGCTTGCATTTTGTTCTTTATAACATAGCCTTTTCTACATTAAAATTAAAATACCTCCCTGTAAACAGAAGAAGGCAAAAGCTGATATATGCATGTCCTGCTTTGTATGTAATCGGTGTTGAGCACAATCCAACTTGCAAACCTCAGAAAAGATTCATCTTTTTCTGAATGTATATCATGGTTATGTTGTACATATGTAGTTTTGTATCAAGAAACAGCAAGAGAATTTTGTCAATTTTGGTTGAATTCCAATTGCAACTTGGACTGCAAGTTTCAACCTTTTTGGTCGAAAAGGGGGAAGACCCCGGCCTCTGCAAGTCTGAACATGGACATGAGAACTCAAAATTGCAAAAGTAGAGATTAGAGATTTGTTGATTGCTTAGGCCCGTGCAGAATTATATAATTCGACGCAATCACATCTTTCCCAAGACGAGGATCAATTTCTTTCCAAGTTCTTTGCAGATTTCAGCAGATTTTTTTAACACTAAATCCCGCTTTCAATCCATCAACTTCTTTCGATCACGTACAGAACATGCGTACAGAACATGCATACGAGCTACGAGCAACTGCATTGCAGTAGGGCTATACTGCTACTTACAACTAAAATATGCCATGTTCGAGTCTTCGAGAAGAAGGATATACATAAAAGTGACCTAGAAAGTGACCAGGACTAGTTCTGGATCAACTGTCTTCTTGACTAGAGCTACACCTGAAGCTGCGTCCTGACCGCGAAGGTCTTCTTGACCATGGAGCTAGTGCACCTCCTGATCGGCTGCATCTGAGACGCCGGCTGCATCATCTTGGGTGCCTGCACCAACTGCGTCTTGCGCCGCCGTTTGGCGTCCGCTGCTTCCTGGTAACCTTGGCGGAGCTTGCGCTTCGCGGCTTCCATCTTCTCCTCCGAGCAGAGCTGGGCACGGTCACCGTCGACAAAGCCGGCGGCAGGATCGGACGCCTTTTTGATGATTTCCGCCGTCTTCTTGGCCAAAGGCTCGCCGAAGATTTTGTGAGGCCGCTTCGTCTTCGCGTCGGAGACATCCTGCTGCTTGCCGACGGTCGCCTTGGGCTGCGGCAGCTTCTTCTTGGCTGGTGTGAGTGTGACCTTGGCGACGTCGTCCTCGACGGAGGCCTCCCACCTGCTGACGATGCCCCGCGCGAGGAGGCGGACGCGCTCCGAGTCGTGCTCCCGCAGCGCGCGCACAGACTCGGCGAACTCCGTGGAGATGGGCACCCCCGGCGTTGATGGAACCACCCTGAGCGTCTCGAGAGACTCTGCCATGAGGTCGTCGAGAAACCCGCAGATACGCTCCGCCTGGTCGTCGTCGGCGGCGTTGCAGAGCCCTACCAGCAGGCCCCCCCTCGCGCGCTGGAACACGTGGCGGGAAAATTGGTCTGGGTCGGCGGCCTCGATGGCGGCGTCCACGGGGTCGAAGGCGCCGTAGAAGCTGTTCCACCGGCGGAGCATCTGCGCGGCCATGGCGGCGGCGGCTTTTCCGCGAGCTGCTGTGATCGACCTTGGAGTGGATGGAGAAGTGGGAAGGATTGGATGGCGAAACTGGGAAGGAAGAAGGCGATTGCCCGGCAAGGCCCCCAATGCAGCTTATATCTCCCGGCGAGGCGGTGACGCGAGTAGAGCGCCACTCCCGATCGAATTCGGAAGCGCGTTTCGCTCCAGTGGAATCCGATTGAGCAGCGGCAAACGCGCACCACGCGTTGCTCGCACGCCACGAAATCTTGCCACCCCATGGTCACCGACACGCACCAGCAGCTGGAGCGGGCAACCCATGGCCACCGTCTGGCGAATCGCCGCCGCCGAAGCCGCTATTGACGCCATGATCAACAACCACGACGCCGGCTCCCGCAAGCGACGGCGCATCGGGAGCACCGAGGACTACGAGCTGACGCGCGTGCTCGGGAAGGGCGGCTTCAGCGTCGTCGTCAAGACGTCGCCCTCAAATGCCTCATCCGCTCGCCCAACGACGGCAGCGGCAAGAGGAGGCGCCGTGCCGACACGCTCCACCGCGACCTGCTGCGTGAGGCGTGCTACCTCGCGGCGTGCCGCGGCCACCCCTCCGTCGTCGGCTTGCACGGCATCGTGCAGCCTCGTCCTAGAGCACGTCGGCCCGAGCCTCTGTCACGTCCTGCGTGGTCGCCGCCGACCGTTCGCGGAGAAGGAGACCCGCCGCGTCATGCGGCAGCTTCTGAGCGGCGCCGGGAGGATGCACGAGCCGGGCATCGTCCACCGGGACATCAAGCCCGGGAACATCCTCGTTGGCGGCGAGGGCGTGGTGAAGATATGTGATCTCGGCTCGGGCTGGTCATTTCCATGGCGAGCGCGACGCCGCCGCGCGGTCAGGCTGGCACGCTCTGGTACATGGCTCCCGAGATGCTCCTGGGGAAGCCGGACTACGACGAGCTCGTGGATGCCTGGTCGCTCGGCTGCGTCATGGCGGAGCTGCTCGCCGGCGAGCCACTGTTCCCTGGCCACAGCGCGACCGACCAGCTCCTCAGAATTTTCCGCGTGCTCGGTAGCATGTGTATGGCATCCACGCTGCTCGCCGCCGCGGGGCAGAAGCTGCTGACCCGCCGAGGCGGTAGCCGGCTTCGTGAGCTGTTCCCCGAGGAGGAGTAAATTGCTCAAAACCATCACATTTGTGGCTAGGGTACTTCAAAACCATCATTTTTGTTAAAAATTACAAAAAACCACCACTTCTGCGCCTAGTGAATAACAAATCACACTGAATCAGATGTTAGTCGTGACTAACAACAAAACTGAAGAACGGGACCCGTCCGTCAGGCTGATGTGGATAAAACTAGTCCTAGTCAATGTGTTGACCCGCTGAGGTGGACACAGGGCCCAACCTGTCAGCCACATGTCTTATTTCCCCATTCTCTTCTTCATCCTCAGGCCACCACGCCACCATGTCGATCGCTACCACCGTGCCATGCACCTGCCCGCAACCATCTTCGCTAGCCTCGCCGGCTCCGGCCACCTCACTTGACACAGCGGCGACGCCCTACGAGCTTCCCTCGTCACTAGCCGCCGGATCTAGGCACCGGCCACCAGATCCACCCCGCAAGGCGCCGTGGTCCGCTGCCTCCTCCCCAGCAGCCTACAGCAGCGATGCGGGCACGCAGGGCCTCGTCCTCGCTGGAGTAGGCTGGGACGCGGGCTCCGCCTCGCCGGAGCGGGCACGCAGGGCCTCGGCTTCGCCGGAGTAGGCTGGGACGCGGGCACGCGCGGGCTTCGCCTCGCCAGAGCGGGCACGCGGGGCCTCGGTCTCACCGGAGCGGGCAGGCGCGGGGCCTTGGTATCGCC